TAAATAACATTTTATGAAATAAAACTGTCTGAAATGGTAAATATGGAATATGATGCAATACAATGCAGTACAATATGATGTAATACAATGCAGTGCAATATGATGCAATACAAGGTGGTGCAATATGATGTAATACAATGCAGTGCAGTATGATGCAATAAAATGCAGAGCAATATGATGCACTACAATGTAGTGCAATATGATGCAATACAATGTAGTGTAATATGATACAGTACAAAGCAGTGCAATATGATGCAAAAAATGCAGTGCAATATGATACAATACAATGTAGTGCAATATAATACAATAAAATGCAGTGCAATATGATGCAATACAAAACAGTAAAATATAATGCAATACAATACAGTGCAATGCAGTGCAATAAAATACAATACATTGTAATAAAATGCAGTGCAATACAATGTGATGCAGTGCAACACAATACAATGCAGTGCAATTCAATACAATACACTACTATACAGTGCAATACAATACAATGCTGTGCAATACAATACAGTACACTGCAGTATAATACAATGCAGTGCAATAAAATACAATGCAGTGTAATAAAATGCAGTGTAATTCAAGACAATGCAATACTATACTGTGCAATTCAATACAGTGCAATACAATACAATGCAGTGCACAGCAATGCAGTGCAATACAATATGATGCAGTGCAATATATTGCAGTGCAATACAATACAATGCAGTGTAATACAATGATGTGCTATACAATACAATACAATACAATGCAATACAATACAATACAATGCAATGCAATTCAATGCTATGAATGTACACCTTCTACAGTCAAATAAACACTGATAAAATTGATTTTAAATTGTAATGGTTTGTTAGTGTATGGAGTTTGAAGTGGGTGGGGGATACAATAACCAGTCTGCTGATTGATGACTTAATAACTTAGGAAAGATCTCCTAGCTTTTAACAGGTTGCACTTATGTCTACCTTACGTTCTTAAACAATCTCGTCTAAGAATACAGGCCCGTATCCTTGATTAACCTGGGGGAGTGGTTTTACCAAGGGGGAGATTTTGTCAAGAGGGGGGAGCTTTTTGACAATTTTGGAAAAAAAATCATGCGAAAAGTGCTAAGAATTATGAAAAACTGCATGATTTTGAACAAATATTTGGCAAGGGGGAGGGGGGTGAAACCCCCTGGCTACGGCCCTGGAATAAATATAGGAACTTTCCTTCTCCCAGAATAAATGGTATACAGGTATTACATCAATCATTCTGGTATTTTGTATAGGCCTGTATACGAAGGTCTGTAGTACACACTTTATTGAAAGATGGCAGTGTACACTGTGTACTAATGTAAACCATTTTGAGGTCAATTTCCCGCACTCGAATCTGTAATTCTCAAAGATATCCTCTCTAGAGGCATCACTATGATCCAAAATTACAATTTCGCGGGTCAAGTCTGCAGTCTTTCGAAAAAAGTTGAATTCGTTGTGTTACCCTTTCTTGTTGGGCATTTATTAACAGAAAACTATATTTCCATCGCGCCAGCATATACTAGCTTTAGCGCGATATTTTGAGTGTGTTAATATTCTGGCTAGATAAATAAAGTGCGCAGAAATCGATCTGACTGGGCCGCGGTGTATGGTGTTTAAACTGCTTCTTTATTCGGTACATTAATATTCCATAAATACCAAATAAATCAAACAATTTACCAAACCTTTACCCAATCTATCGAATGTTTTTTTATTTTATCAAATGTAATAATCCATACAATTTATATTCGCTATATAGTTTCACTTGTTCTTTGCATTGACATTCACATTTGATATGTATACATGTATTTGTGTGATGCAGCGAATCAATTTGTTTTCCTTAACGCACGTATAATTCAATTAATTGTTTGTACATTCGGTATTTAAATTATTTATATTCGGTAAATACCGAATGCCACATTCGATAAATTTCGTTATTTTTCGATAATTTACGAGACTTTCAGTCACGTGATATATTTGTACGATGTAGAATAGCTGCGCGGCCATTTTGCAAATCTCATTTTGCAAGTCACGTGACAAAATATCGAACAACAACGCAACTTATCGAATATTACTTTATTGCATTCGGTAAATAGCAAATTAGCTTTCGGTAAATAGCAAATTAGTTTCGGTAAAATGCATTAACTATGTCATAGAAAAATAAACCATTTGGTAAATATAGGCAAACTTATTTCGGTAGGGTTCAATTAGAAATTCAATATTGTGCATATAATGTGTTACTCTTAAGGAATGCCATAACAATTTACGCAAAAAATATCATTTAACGAATGAAATATGTAATTTAATGCACATAGTATTAAGTGATTGGCTATTTTGAAAACTTAATTTGCTGTAACAAACATATAAACTTTTTTACCGAATGGAAAATGACTTAGCGAATATGAATGTTTCATATATCGAATATATTTGAATTTAATGAATAAAGAAGCAAAAATAATGTCATAGCGGTGTGCGATATCACTCATAACCATTTTTTAATCGCGCACTGAATGAATTACAGGGGGCGCATTATGTAAAGTGAATTAAATAAATAAAGTGCGCAGAAATCTATCTGACTGGGCCGCGGTGTGTGATATCACTCCCATGTTAAAACTCCATTGAATTTTAAAGTCTGCGGTATATCCCACCGGTTTAGTCCACCCGTGTAGCTCAGCGGTAGCGCAGGTACCTCTTACGCAATAGGTCCCGGATTCGATCCCCGGTTCAGGCAAGACTAAATTTGCTTGTTTGCGTGAAGTACTTCAGGGTGTTTGACTGAGTGGTCCGCAACTCGTACAAAAAGGCTGTGGTGTGTACTTATATGTCTATGTATAAGTGCACACAAAAGAACACAAGGCTCCTTCAAGGAGGGGTTTCTGGGTCTATCTTCCATGTTAATTACGTAAATTACGACCGTAAATATACGGGACATACCCAAGAGGTATTGCTCACCTTCATTGGTGGTAAACAAAAAAAAAATACAATACAAAATCCCCTTTCGATTTCCGTATTTTTTTGTTAAAAAACGTGTGACCACGTAATTTGCACCGCAAAGGCTAACTGTTCTTTTATCGTGATACCGAGGGGAAAAATTATCAAATATTATGCAATTGACTTGCGCCGCGGGCAGTTCAAAAACGTAGCCCTTCTAATACCACGATAACATTTGCTCCGATCTTCAACAGTCAACGTCGTCCCCCAGCGGATGAGTATTTTGTTCAAAACTGAATACAATTCTTTACAAAATACTCATCGACCGGGCACCGATGCTGAAAATGAGTGTCTGTATCTCGCTTGCTTCATGACGTGATAACATAGTAGCCTGGACAGAATTGTTCAATGGTCAATTTTTCTTTAATAACTTTTTTAACTTTCAGTATTATCAAAATCTGATTACATATTTGAAAACAAGAGTAAAATTCTGACATACAAAAAAATATTTTAGGAACATCTCTTTATTTATTGATATTATAGGCGTTCGTAGTATGAGTGACGCAAATACATAATTCACCATTTTGTCATAATTCACTCATATTTGTCAAAAATGGCGGCATGTTTTGTGGTTTGAATGTTCAGTTGAAAGTTAATATCTGAGAAATGTCATAGACCTACGAAATTATGTAGACTGCTCCCTTAGTATAAGGTAATGACTGCACCTTTTGTTTCAAATTGACTTGTATGTATGCCAGTACTTAAAAAGGTTTGTACATTGTATGTACAGTATATTGGTAAGGTCGCAGGACTTGAACGTTTTTTGGCCATTCCATTGTTACTTGTAGTGGATTAGCAACCCTAGTTCGTTTAACCTGTGCAACTATATGGTCATACTGCCACAGTTTGTAATGTCTTTCCCAGTCACACGCCTCTTGACCCATCCTTGGCATGCATGTGCATTTTTCTTCAGGTTTTCAAGTTTTTTTTCTGATATGGCTGTTTGGAGCTCTGGAAAAGATTGAGGACCTACTCTCACCACACCCCGCACATTGAGCGCCGCCTTTTCACATTCTCTTGAATACAACCCCGAACATTTCAATAGAGTTGATTTCATATATCCTTGGAGGGAGTTAACTGAAGATTGGTCAGTTGCTGCATTGCATTAGGATTGTAACGGTGGCAGCATGGCCCTATAGTCCTATGACTTTCTTTAAATATTAACTTTCAACTGAACATTCAAATTCACAGAATATGCCGCCATTTTGAACAAATATGAGACAAAATGGTGAATTATGTATTTGCGTCACTCATACTACGAACGCCTATAATATCAATAAATTAAGAGATGTTCCTTAAATATTTTTTTTGTATGTCAGAATTTTACTCTAGTTCTCAATTATGTAATCTAAGATTTTGATAATACTGAAAATTAAAAAAGTTATTAAAGAAAAATTGACCATTGAACAATTCTGTCCAGGCTGCTATGTGATCACGTCATGAAGCAAGCGAGATACAGACGCCAATTTAGATGTTATTTAATTGATGACCTATATTAGATTCGAGCGGAGACCTCGACTCTTATCCTTCTTCCAAAATATTAAACGTGGCTAGTTATGTTACTGTAGTAGCACCTAGGTGGATTGTTACGATACTATAACATAATCGAGATATCGGATAAAAATAGAATCGTTGAACGTCGATGGGAAATCATAGCCGCCCATCTTTCACAATAGAATTCATCGAATAATAGTTTAATGGGCAATAAGGAAGGTTGCGCTAGCTTTATTTTTAACCTACATTGCCTTCTGTCAACGTGTTATTTTCATCCAATCACCGTTAAATGCATTGCGTGGTTTACAAAGCATCGCCGACGATGGCGTCAGTTTGTGTTGTACCCAGCGAAAGGTTTCATCGTATGTGGTTTAATGGGTAATAAGGAAGGAATATACTGACATTTTTCTATTAACGTACATACTAGTAACCTATATAACTTACTTTCAAACAATGTGTTCGTTACCATGTTTAATGAATATCAATCACGTGTCATTGTCGTAAAATCAACAATTAAACCTAACAATAATGCAGAAATTTGAATTATTTTTAATTTTTCACCTCGTTCGGAATATAATGAAGTTACCCGAGCCACTACCGGCATTCGTCGACATCGGATCCAAGGAAGGAGTAAGTCAAGATTTTTTGTATTAAATGTTTTCACAAACAAATATTTTTTAAATATACGTTAAGTCATTTGAGGAGACTATTGATAATATCTTGTTGATGAAATTAAACCTGCAACTTCAATATACTGAACAAATATGTTAGTGGTATTACATGGGGTCATCCACCGATGATGTGTTACACTGTATGTATTTGGAAAGTAGAAAAAATAAATTTTGTTGTTTATGATTAAACATTTATAAAAGGCAGAATCAGATAAAGGAAGGGAGGACAAAATTTCAAGCAACATTATGTACGATCTAATATAATATATCCCATAAAATCCGAAATATTCATACCTTCGTACTTGAAATGTATGACTATACTAACTGATAATTCAATATTGTACTTCTAACTACTAAATGATTAGAAATACGAGGGTTGTCCCAGAAGTAATGCACTATATGCTCTAACTTCCTCCAAATTCTTCAATTCAGCTGAAATTGTGTGTATATAACAATTGAAGTTTTATCTATTATATCCTGAAGTTTTAGCATCCAACATTAATATTAAGTCTTAATACGGTTGCTATCACAACATGGGGGTAGGGGTGGGCGGGGCAGGTACCAATTTTTCTAGTTATGAAAAGATCTAAAGTGTTATTTTATTAATATCCTTTAAATGGTCAAAATGTTTGGGAAATTGTCAAATTTATTCAGCATGATGTTAACCAAGTACGAATAATGACATTAGCACGGTGATGTGATGATACCACATTTCAATAGTCACGAATTCAAATACAGTCACAGTCAAGAAATTGCAAAAATGGCTGCAATTCTCATCTGATAACAGAAGGCCTTGCGTTTGGTGGCCTAATTTCATACTTCACTTGGACTCACAGCCACGCAGAACAATGCTACCATGAAGAAAGTATATAAGGAGTATATACCAGATAGAACTACAATTATGGGGTGGCAGAAGAGATTTAAAAGCATATAGTGCATATAAGCATATAGTGCATTACTTCTGGGTCAACCCTCGTATATAACGATTCCTACTGACATAAGACTTTCTGAAATACGTTACGCGATAAAATTGTTGATGAAATTGTGATTTAATTGTAATTTCGACATAATCATAAAAACTTCGGCGGAACAATTGATGTTCTCTTTACCTCAAGAAAATGTAAAGAAGTCGGGACATCATGTTGTGCAACAAACGTTGCACAGAAGTTAATGTACTGCAGCATTCGTTTTGAATTTCTGCACATTTGTGGATATATTAAAGATGTGTTCGACTGCAAGAATGTTATTATATTGAAATGTAATCTAAGAAGATGAACTAAATTGCATTCGACTTTTTGATTTAATTTCAGAACAATGATGTTAACATATCTAGCAGTATTTGCTGCCCTTCTTATAGGCATTGAAGCTGGAGCGCGTGGAGGATCTGATTATGACCCATATATACCCCGGGGTGAGGTTTACACTGGACCATGTGAGGGAGGGTACAAAACATACAATAGGAGAGATTGTGCAGACTCGTACAGGGAACTTAGAAGAGAAAATGCTTATGCTGGTAAATGGAAACATGAGAAATAAAACTATGCAATGCATTTTGAAATACATGTATTATAATATATTTTTCAAATGTGATTCCTAATTACTAAAATTTGAATCTTTGAATTAACTGATCTCTTCCATGGTTGATTTTTGAACTGCTCGAGGTGCAGTTTGCTCGCGCAGCACTTACTGAGCCATCCAGGTATCACGAAAAGGATCAGTGGACCTTGCAGTGAAAATTGCAAAATCGCATGTTTTCAACAACTAAAAACGGCTCATCCAAGCGCACTAACACTTACTTACATACTTCTTTTGAAACACTTAACAGTTTAATTCAATTGAACTCCTGTGATGCATCAGTGACGTAGACTAGCCGGTGCAAGTCTGCTTGACGAGGTTGACGAGGTTTAAACAGTGTAAGTGCTCTTCGATGAGCTGATTTTGTTAAAAATGTATGCAAACATGTAATTTGCGTCACGGAGCTCATTGTTCTTTTTGACATACCTGCGGGGAAAGTGGCTTTTTAATTACACAAATGGCTTCAATGTTGGGCTCAAATTTAAGAAATATTTCAAATTATCTTCTTAAACACCTCGAGTATAGCAATTGATTAGTTTCTCAAAAGTTTTATATATTACTGTGCTGTTAATTGGGTTCAATAATAAACTTTAGGTCTTATGTAAGATGAGATATAAAGTGTTTTTATTCCAAACACAAATGTTATGACATCTCTGACATCTTAGATCTAGCAGCCTATCGGCTATTGGTTAAAACACATCACGTGATACAAAAGTAGGTCACTGAGCACGTGGCCTGATAAACAATAGATTTTGATGAGTGAATATATCAGCTAACACTACAATTACTAAATTCTAGGATTGAGTATGCAGCAATACACATGGCAATGTGATCATATGTACCAATGGTTGTCTCATGCCGCAAATAAGACAGGTGGTGGTGCGAGAATCACATCTGCCCAATCTAATTGGTTAAGAGAACTTTTAGATCATCTGATTGAATCATTGCAGGTTTGATAACAATCCCATATTTTCAAATACTTTGTTGTAAACGCATCTGAGATAATGACTTTACCATCATATTGGACCGAGTTCTCGTATAGGACACGCCGGCGTAATAATTACGTTAATATATTTTTGGAAATATTCATTTTATTTGTGATGATGTTCTGATAATCGTTGAAGCTAACACACCGCTTGGGTTTCATATAGCCATCGGTAAAACGCAGCGCCCATGGGTTCCCTCTTGGTATAAGAAAGGAATATCGTCTAGCAACGGATACAGAACGGACGGACTTCCACGATGCTATCAACCAGTTAAAGACGGATCTACTCCCAGGGCCATTTGGGACTACCAACAAATACGACACACTCGCGTCATTTCACCATGGAACTGTCGCAGTTGGGGCACATGTTGGACCGGGCTTTTTGCCCTGGCATAGGATCTACTTGTTGATGTATGCGTTTAGTTATAAGCGTGCATGTTGTATGAAGTATTAAATATTCGTTCAATATCGAAGAATAAACATGTCAAATAATAATTGTTTGTGACCAATTGATAACTTCTAATATCTGTGCTAATTAACTTTACAGGTATGAAATCGCGTTGAAGCAAAAAATACCGGCTGTTTCGTTACTCTATTGGGACTCAACCATTGAGCAAAGTATAGCAACACCTCATTTGTCCAATCTTTGGTCCCCTATGTTCATGGGAAACGGTAATGGTGACGTTGTAGAAGGTCCCTTTGCAAACTGGGACGCAACAGATGGGGGAAAACTTTCACGCACTGTTCAAACCTTTCCGAATCAACTCACAACTCAAGCAGACATAATGGCGGTACTGTCTGGAACAACATTTGCAGGAATATTGTAGGCATTTTGACTGCTTGACATATTTAATATTTGTTCTATAAAATACTGTTACAAAGACTTTTCCTTCGTCTCATAGGAAATATCCACTGTTTTAAGATAGTTCATTGTATAAAGGGGTCCTTTAGCTTAGAACACATGCATACATGTAAAAATACACTTTATTGCGTAGAAATGTACGATTGTTTTGATAATTTACATTTTAGTGGGTTGCTTGAGAGTATACACAACAAAGTCCATTCCTACGTTGGTGGACAAATGGGGGACATCGATTTTTCGCCAAACGATCCTCTTTTCTGGATGCATCACGCCTTTATTGATTGTATTTGGGAAGAGTTTAGACAGAACAGTCAGACGACAAATCTGGCCACTGAGTATCCGACTGCTTTTGGACAACATCATCCACAAGCTTCGATGCAGCCATTTAGCAACCTTGCCTCCCCTGTACAAAATATAGATGGTCTAAGCACGCTTATAACATCGACTTACTATAAGTGTAATCCACGTCCAAAGTGTCCCAATTGTAGTAACTCTGCACATTTATATTGTGACAAAGCTGACAACCGCTGTAAGCCATTTATAAAGGCCGATGAATGTGGAGCAGGTACTGTATTTGTCCCTGCAATAATATATTGTGACCAGGCAGTATATGGGAACCAACACTATGGAGTAAATGGAGTATATCTCGAAACGTATGGCGTTAGTTACAAAGGACGAGACCAGGCGTATTACTTTGGTGACTATTACGATTACTACAATAAGCCAAGATCTTCTAACCCGTCAAATTATCGACCAACGTATGCCGGTTACTTTCCAACCCGTCAACCATCAAACAGACGTACACAAGGACGATACAAGAGACAAACATCGCGGGAACAGTATCGACCAAAAGCGTATACAGCTGATGGACGTCCATGCAAAATTGAATGTTTCACAGGATACGGTCAAAACAAGAACCCAAACTATGGTTCATGTCCGACTAGAATTTATTTAGAAGGTAAAATGGCATATCGAAAATGAATGACATCTGAATCTTTTGAAGGAGTATCTTTGTCTGTGTATCCATCAATCTTTTCAGCTATATATTTTGACATTTACATCTTTCTAGAGTATGTTGAACCGACTCCGAAAAGACGAAAAAGACCCAAACGAGGTAGGAAGCCAAAGGCAAATACTTACCAAACGCCGTATGTTGAAAGAAGTGAGAACATATATCCAAGACCTGATTCATCTTACAGAGCACCTCCTGCCCCCCGTCAGTCAGAGTACTACCGCGTTACGTGCCCTTGCGAATTTCAACAATACACATACTGCCCAACGTATATACCTGGATATACAAAATCTAAGGGTAAGTTAGCCGTTGCATAAATGTATGAAATACATTTCAGCATTTTAAACTGTATTATGTACAACCCGTTAGTGCGGCGAAACAGTACGAACTAAAAGGAACATTTTTTTTAAAAGACACACAAAGCACTTTGGAAACGCAAAACCTCCGCCACAATTAAGTCAATAATAAAGCTAGATAAAATTTCCTATTTATAAAGAAATCATCATCATCATCATCGTTTTTAGGAGTTTAAGGCGTGTGCCTGTGGGTTCCTCCCTTCAAGGCATATAATTTCAAAGAACTGCTTTGGTATTTTATTTCCCAAAGACTTATAACTGTACTGGTAATTTGTTAGGGACTTGTGATTCATAAAAACTGACATTGAACCAAAATAAAACCTAGTGAGTGTAAACTGGTCATCCTACTCGCTTGTACTCTACTTCATGTCTGGGTAATAGTGGGCATCAATCTTTGCCTTGAAGTCATCTAGTGTCTGGGCTGTAACTGCTTTTTCAGGGAGATTATTCCATTCATTGACAATCCGTTGGCTGAAAAAACCTTGTCTTAGTGCAAGATTTGATCTGTCCTTGTAAAATTTCTGGCTATGACCTCTTGTTGTACTGTGGTTTAGAGTAAAGAATAGGGAGTGATCAATGTTGTCTATATTGTTCATGAGCTTGTAGACTTGGATCAGATCTCCTCTTTTCCTCCTGTAGGCCATGGAGAAAAGGTTCAGATGCTTCAGTCTGTCTGGATAGGAAAGATCGGACATGCCTGTGATCATTTTAGTGGCCCTTCTTTGTATCTTTTCAATTTTGTCAATGTCTATCTGGTACCTGGGATTCCAAGCCACGGTGCAATATTCAAGATGGGGACGGACAAGTGTTTTGTATAGGGGAAGGAAGATCTCTGCATCTTTGTTTGTGAATGTTCTCTTGATGGCTCCCAGGATCTTATTTGCTTTATTTGTACAGTTTGAAACATGGTTGTGGAATTTCAGTTCGTTGTCAATGGTGATGCCTAAGTCCCGTTCTTGGGATACTTTCTCTAGGGGTATCTGGTCCATAGTATATTGGTGTTGACTGTTATTTTTTCCGAAGTGGAGAACCTTGCATTTACTTGTGTTGAACCTGAGTAGCCATTTGTTAGACCAGGTAACCAATGCATCTACATCAGCTTGAAGCTGCTGGATATCTTGTTCTCTCGGGATAGCCCTGTAAAGCTTTGTATCATCTGCAAATATTTTTACCGTAGATTCAACATGCTCAGGTAGGTCATTGATGTAAATGATGAATGCCAGTGGCCCGAGGCAAGTTCCCTGAGGTATTCCACTAGTGACTTGGCTCCAGGTAGAACGGCTGTCATTAACTTTGACTCGTTGTCTTCTATCTGTTAAAAATGCTGTGAGCCACTTTAAGAGATCTCCTCTGAAGCCGTAACAGCTTAGTTTGTCAAGTAGTCTTTTGTGGGGTACACTATCAAAGGCCCGCGAAAAATCAAAATAGATGGCGTCTAATGGATTACTGGAATCTAATATACTGGTCCAGTCCTCAAGAACCGTTAACAGTTGAGTTGTACAGGATCGGCCAGGCAGGAACCCATGTAGTGCATCAGTAATGAGGTCATGTATTAACAAATGATTCACCATGTTGTCTCTTGTTTTGCTTTTGTGTAGTTAATATGATTGATGCAACATGTGTATGTGTAGAGGCGGAAACGTTGTCTGCACAAATAAATTATGTTGTTAGTTACTATACTACTACTTTATGTGGCTATGTAGTATCAATCAATATATAAATATAAAGCTACATATTATAATATATCATTTAAATTATATTCAGGCTGTAGGTATAACGGACGATTTTATGCAGAGGGAAGCTCGTTCCCGTCCACTGATGGATGCAACACGTGCACGTGTAGAGGCGGAAAGGTTGTCTGCACAAAGAAACTATGTGGTTCGTTCTTTTGTGTGTTTAATTTTTACTTATCGGTTATATATATAAATATTCAGTATCATAATGTATCATTATGAATGTCTTCAGGTTGTACGTACAACGGACGATTTTATGCGGAGGGAAGCTCGTTCCCGTCCACTGATGGATGCAACACGTGTACGTGTAGAGGAGGAAAGGTTGTCTGCACAAAGAAACTATGTGGTTCGTTCTTTTGTGTGTTTAATTTTTACTTATCGGTTATATATATAAATATTCAGTATCATAATGTATCATTATGAATGTCTTCAGGTTGTACGTACAACGGACGATTTTATGCAGAGGGAAGCTCGTTCCCGTCCACTGATGGATGCAACACGTGTACGTGTAGAGGAGGAAAGGTTGTCTGCACAAAGAAACTATGTGGTTGGTTCTTTTGTGTGTTTAATTTTTACTTATCGGTTATATATATAAATATACAGTATCATAATGTATCATTATGAATGTCTTCAGGTTGTACGTACAATGGACGATTTTATGCGGAGGGAAGCTTATTCCCGTCCACTGATGGATGCAACACGTGTTCGTGTAGACGAGGAAACGTTGGATGCACCGAGAAATTGTGTGGTTCGTTCTTTTGTTTTGTTAATATATAGTATCTGTTCTGAATATAGATACATAGTTATATATCATAAAGAGAACATTGTAAATGTCTTCAGACTGTAGGTACAATGGACGATTTTATGCGGAGGGAAGCTCGTTCCCGTCCACTGATGGATGCAACACGTGCACGTGTAGAGGTAGACGCGTTGTCTGCACCAAAAAAATATGTGGTAAGTTTTTTTTTGTGTGGTTGCCTGCTACATACAATTTACCTAACACCCCAGTCACATTTGTCGTACGGAGGCCGTGCGTCGACCGCAGATCAATTAAATCAGTGTATTTCTGCGGCGAGCGTAGGAAAACTACGCTCGCCTTGCGTCCTCCATACGGCGTATCCAGTTTTTTACAGGCCGCAGGTTCGCCGTAGAAATTATAACTCGGAGTTATAATATTTGTTCATTTCTCCGTAGAAATCAACTGGCTCAGCAAGATTGAATCATTATTTGTCAATGTTTCACGATCACTTTTCATTTGATATTACATCCTAGCACTATGAATAACATTTATAAATTGTCCCGATGTAAATAAAATGAAAAAAGTATTATTTATCAACAGAAATTTAAAATTCACCGTGCGGCTGCCGTGGGAAATGTGACTGCAAAAGTATGAGAGCTCAGAAATTCCACGGCGAGCGTAGAAATGTTACTGGCCGCAGAAATGATAGACCGCAAGGTCGCCGTAGAAAATGTGACTGGGGTGTTAGAAATAAATTTTGATTGAGGCGGAACTGTTGCGAGAACCAAAGAAGCTAGTTGTAATTGCAACTTGCATATAGTAACTAGAAACTAAATATTATGAAAACAATTGTTTGTTCGGAGGAAAAAACGTGTTTCCAGACATTAACTTATGACAGAACCAAAAAACAAATAACTGAGATACGATCCTTCTGCGTTTTTGAAATTAAAAAAATCGTCAATAGAATATCACAGTACAGTAGTAAGTGGCTTAGTTGACAGTAGCCGCTTATATTATTCAGTTCAATGTTCTTAGGATGCCCACCTCATCTAAGATGTAAGACTCATCCAAGATGTAACAACTATCCTCCATGTTGCTGTATCAAAGATGTATGGTACCTGTCGTATTAGAATAACAAGTTTAAATATGAAAGATTCTTGGTGGTATAACAACCATACATTCGTGTCCTAGGGGTCAAATGTTCAAAATATGCTTGGAATATATGCCGTTGCGGAGATGGTGGTGGTATGCTCAACTATTTTCTGTAACCCCTCCCCCGCCCTATCACACCAAGTTAGTTCACAACTGTTCTTTCCAGTCCTACAACAGCCGTAAAACGGGCTGTGATCGGAAAATATGTCTAAAATAATCAGCCACTTCGTTCATAAACAGTCTTCAATACGTCCATCTCATTCGCAGTTCGTTCAGGTAGTACCATGTCGATGTGTCCACGTACTGCAATTGATATCATGTCTATTCTTAAATTGAATTCTGCTTTCCTTGTGTGGTTAGACTACAGATAGAGTAAGACATAAGATTGAATATGAAAATTCTTAAATAGTTTATAATCGTAAGTAATTCATTTTCAATAATTAAACTGTTTCACAAAGAAACGTTGTCTGAATAAAGAAAATATGTAATTCATACAGGTTACTTAATTTCGAAATCAACCCTCCTTGTTAGGAAAACTAGTTGTGTTAAAATGATTCGTGAAAACTCATTACGAAATGTCCTGAATCAACGACTCAATGCGCACTGGCTAATTTAGAAATGGGACAGCATCTTTTCCAAGCAATCGAGGTTGGGCCATGCAGCCGAAGGTAAGCCATACAACCGAAGGTAAGCCATACAACCGAATTTTGCCGATTCAATCTGACGGAGAATGCCGAGCCTCTATTTTTGACCAATTAGAGGCATCCTCTTCACATTCGTGGAACCCTCGGCCAACTTCGTTTGCAAAGAAAAGCTTCGGCAATCTTCGGCAATCTCCAGTTTTTCTTGAGGTATCTTCGGTTGATTGCCAAAAGTCGACACCCATTTAGAAACACATTGTTTTATAGGTTGTCATTGGAGCGCATGGAATCCATGGCAATATCGGCCATGTTCAGTCACATGTGGTACTGGACGAAAATACAGAAGTAGAACACGATCGAAACTTCCGGGAGGTTCGGGATGTCCGGGTGCTTCTATTGAAACAGTATACGTAAACTGTATCAACCCTCCTTGTAAGGAAAACTAGTTGTGTTAAAATAATTCGTGAAACCTCATTACAAAATGTCCTGAATCAGCGACTCAATACACAGTGGCTAACTTAGAAACACATTGTTTTATAGGTTGTCATTGGAGTTCATGGAGTCAATGGCAATACCGGCCATGTTCAACTACATGCAGGAAGAACAGAAGTAGAACACGAAGGAAACTCCCGGGGGGTTCAGGATGTCCTGGTACTTCTATTGAGACAGGATACGTAAAGTGTTACGACCGTCCTTGTGGTGAGACATTTAGTATTTCAAAAAGCGAGGAAGGAAAACAATTAAGAATAAACCCATTAAAACATATTGAGAAATCATTTTTGCAGTGCTAAACATTGAGACCACGGGATGTTTCATTTGTACTGATGCCATTCAAGTTCAAGTTAAAGATCAAATTTAAATGTCTTGAGACATCAACTGTCAAATGGGTTGTGGCAACTGCATCTATCTGACAATACGCACATACTGTTTCCAGTATATCCGGGGGCATTCACTCATTTGTTAGAAACTGACTTTTTCTGGAATGTGGGGTTAAACAAAACAAAGAAATTGTCGATAATAGTACAGTCCGATCAGTTCTCTTA